GCCTTCAAGACGCTTGGTAACCCCAGAGATCCAGTGTCCTCCTCAGACCCTTGCAGGCACTCACACATACATACACATAAATTTAAAAAAAAGGTTTTTTTTAAAGATGACCTTCTAGATATCAGAATGAATGAATCAAGTTGGGGTGTTCCTTGTGGGACTTAGAGGTTGGTAACTGTTTTCACATGAGTTCTAGGCAGCTTTTTGTCTCCTGCTTGGATTACTAGGGACTGCCAGTGGCGATACCACTAACCTAAATCTCCAGCCCTTAGTTGAGAGTAACAGAGTAATAAAATGCTAAGAATTAATCAGTTGGGAAGCCCACCACGCTGCCACCCCAGAGCGCAGACACTCCAGGAAGCACAGAGACCACACTGCAGCCCAGCACCCCCTGGGCCCTCTGAGACATGAGCGAGTAGGTGTTGGAGTGATGGGAGAGAAAGAAGCAAGCACATAGGCGGTGGAGAAATGGAGGACAGGCTGTTTGTGCGCTGTAAAGTGAGGCAGAACTGGAGACGTGAAGGCAGTTGCTGTGCTTGCTCCTTGGGAAAAGGTGAATAACACTGCCCATCAATTGAGCCAGCAACAAACACAAATGCCAGTGAGCCTATGCCTGCTTCCTTTGAGAAAACTGACCACTGTATGAGTCACTGTGACTCCCAGAGCCGCATCCTAGCCCAGGAGGAAGAGCAGTACCTGCAGACCGGAGACCCACAACAGACCGGACGTGTCCTGCTGTGTTTACTTCTCATCATTGGCCTATCTGATAATCTCTGTGGCTGTGGTGGCAGTTCAGCCTTGAGACTGGACGACTCTATATTGAACTATAGTTTTACCGTGCTGTGTCTAACCTTGGCCGGAGACTTATTTCTTTTGGAAGCTTTGAGTTGGACAAACACTTGAAGACACCCAGAGGCCCCACCCGCTACAATGCAGGGGGGGGCAGGAAGATGACACCTAGAGACCCCACCCAACGTGTGGTCCACTGCAGCACAACCACTATGATGTGCAAGTATGGGGCGGCGAGATGGAGAAAGAGAAGAAGTGTTTGAGTACTATGAAGAGAGGCGGATCTGAAGATGCAAGGTGGAGAGGAACAGCCTGATGTGAGGACCCTTCAAAGACACCTGAGGCCATGGTGAAGTCCTAGCCCATGCTTCTGCTGAGGGCCATGTCTGGGTCCGTGGCCATGCAGCAGTAGGGGTCTGTGTTGATGTCTAAGGCCCATGTCACCAACAAAGGCTTTGTGGATGCCCCTGGTCTGGACTGCTGCCTGGACCATGTTGATATCCAAGAGCTGCATAGAGTTAGTTGGTCCCGCCCCTCATGAAGAGCATGCCTTGCACCTCACCTGGGCAGCAGAGTAGAGCAGACCCTGTTGGCAGGGACAGAGGTGAACCAGCCCTGCCCCTTGCTGCCAGCAGCGTTGGATAAGCTAGTCAGGGTAATGCTGGAGAATTCTCTCTGGTGGTGAGGATGAGGAAGAGCTGGCCAACCCAGTTATCACCTGGGCCCAGAAACAAGGATATGAGTTGGCCCACTCCAACACTCACCTCCATCTGTGATCGGCTGGAGCACGTGAAGGGGCCGGTCCTGCAAATCCAAAGCTGCAGGATCTTCATGACACAGGGCAACAACGAGGAATCCGAGAGGAGTCCCAGTGAGGACCCAGTATTGCTAGTGTAGCAGAAGCCAAAGGCCTCAAACCAGACCATGACTCACTGCAGTGAACACTTGCAAGTAAAGATGTATGGACTAAAGGGTATGCTGTGTAATTCACTGTGACACGCTGCAGCTTCCATGACAAGATTTTTTTTAATTGAATTTAATTTTATTTTGGTGGGGAGGTGGCAAGGGCAGAAGGCAAATATGAAGGGATGGGGAGCTGAATAGGATCGGGGTGCATAATGTGAAATCCACAAAGAGTCAATAAAAATAAAAAGTAAAAAAGAATTAATCAGGGTCTAAGCATGATGGTTCACACCTTTAATTCCAGCAGTGGGGAGGTACAGATAGGCAGATCTCTGTGATTTCAAGGCCAGCTTGGTCTGTATAGTGAGTACTAGGCCAGCCAAAGCTAGATCATGAGACCTTTCTCAAAACAAAATAACAGGCTTAGGGATTTAGCTCATGGTAGAGCGCTTGCCTAGCAAGCACAAGGCCCTGGGTTCAGTCCTCAGCTCCGGAAAAACAAACAAAAAACAAACAAAACAATTGATCAATCCAGGTAGAGGGCATATAGGTTATTTTTTAAAAATATTTGTTGCTTTTATTTATGTGCATGGGGGGGGGGAGGGGAGGTGGGGAGAATGCAAATGTTTGTGGTTATCCTTAGAGGCCAGAAGAGGGCATCAGATCCCCTGCAGCTGGAGTTATAGGCAGCTGTGAGCCACTGGACCTAGGTACTGAGAACCTAACACTGCTCCTGGAACAGTGGCAAGTGCTTTTTATTGCTGAGCCGTCTCTAGCCCTGGGGTTTGGTTTTCAAAGTTTTATTATGTAGCCCAGTGTTAGGGAATGTTATTTTAAGATGTGTTACTTTTGTTTATGCTGCATGTGTTTGACTCTGTGAAGCTGTGTTACTGTGCCTGTGTAACACACCTGATGGTCTAATAAAGATCTGAACAGCCAATAGCAAGGCAGGAGAAAGGATAGGTGGGGCTGGCAGGCAGAGAGGATAAATAGAAGGAGAAAACTGGGAAGAGGGAGCTAGCTGCCAGAGAAGGAGGAGGACTCCAGGGGCCAGCCACCCAGTTACACAGCAAGCCATGGAGTAAGAGTAAGATTTACAGAAGTAAGAGGACAGGAAAAGCCCAGAGACAAAAGGTAGATGGGATAATTTGAGTTAAGGAAAGCTGGCTAGAAACTAAGCTGATCTAAGGCTGGGCATTCTTAATTAAGAGTAAGCCTCCGTGTGTGATTTACTTGGGAGCTGGGTGGCAGGCCCCCCAAAAAGAGTAAGAAAAACCAACAACAGCCCAGGGATGACCTTGAACTCCAGAATCGTCCCATCTCAGTCTCCTGGATGCCAGGATTACAATTGTGCACTACCAGGCCCAGCTTATATGTCTTTATTGTACTAAAAAACAAAACCCCATGAACCTTTCTGTATGTCTGATGTTTTGAAAAAGCTTAACTCTTTTACATTTATTTGTGTGGGTGTGGGTGTGTAGGTATATGAGGGCCAGAGGGCAGTTTGCAGGAGTTGGTTCATTCCATGTGGTTCCATGTAGACCATGTAGGTTCCAAGGATTGAGCTCAGGTCATCAGGCCAGGTGGCGTTTGCCTTTACTCACTGAACCATCTTGTGGGCACCTGAGAAAATTTTAAGTTATTCTTGGGGCTGGAGAGATAATGTTTAAGAGCTCTGGCTATTCTTGCAGGGGACCAAGGTTCAATTCTCAGAACCCATGTGGTACCTCACAACTGTCTGTAACTCTAGCTCCTGGCAATTCAGCAACCTCTTCAGGTCCCTGTGGGCACCGCACACATGTGGTACATATACATACATTCAGGCAAAAGCCCATACACATAAATGGAAATGAATTTTTTGTTTGCTTGAGATGATGACTCTCTGTAACCCTGGCTAGCCTGGAAGTCACTCTGCAGACTAGGCTGGCCTTAAACTCAGATCTATCTGCGTCTGCCTCCCAAGTGCTGGGATTAGTTAAAGGTGTATGCTACCATACCCAGCTAAAAATAAATCTTTGAAAAAGAAAGAAAAAGTCCCTGAGTACCATGAGGCCAGCCTCTCTGTTGTGAATCTAGTTCTCACAGCCTTGCTAAGGAAACTCGGAGATAATCCACGATCTCTTTATATGCATATGGAAGTCTCAGAAACCAATGCCATTTCTTTGGGAAATCTGTTATATTTCAAGGATTGTGCATGCTTAAGCAACCCTATGCTTAAGCAACCCTATTTGGGTGTTTTTGTTTGTTTTTCTGCTTAGCTGGGTTTTCTTATGCAAATATTAATAGAGTTTTGTAGAAGAATCATAACAAAGTGCTCCTTCTGACTTCATTGACACCAGCAGGCTCCAAAGCTACACAGAAAACTCTTGTCTTGAAAAACCAAGAAGGAAAAAAAAAAAAAGACTGTTTCCTAGAATGTGCTGAAATAAGACTTTGGTGAGCCCTTTGGGGTTTTTGATTTTTGTTTGTTTGTTTGTTTGTTTGTTTGTTTTTGTGGTTTTTCGAGACAGGGTTTCTCTGTATAGCCCTGGCTTCTGAGATTAGAGGGATGTACCACCACCACCCAGCTTGAAACAGTTATTTGTTTGTTTATTTTTTGTTTCCTGAGACAAAGTTTCTATGGAGTTTTGGCTATCCTGGAACTCACTCTGTAGACCAGGCTGGCCTTGAACTCAGAGAGATCCACCTGAGTGCAGGGATTAAAGGTGTGCACCACCACTGCCTGGCTGAACACATTTTAAAAAAAATTTTATGTTTGTGCTTGTCTGTATGTACACTCTGTGTGTACAGGTGTCCACAGAGGCCTGCACAGGGTGTCAAAAACCCTAGAAACTGTCATTACAGGCAGCTGTAAGTAACTGTGATGCCGAGGACCAAACTTGGGTCCTTTACAAACGCAGCAAGTGCTCTTTACCTCTGAGGCATCTCTCCAGCCCCCCAAATTCCATTTTTGAATAATAGGAACGTTATGCATTTCTCCAACATGTCTGAAATTATTGGCAGCTTGAGCTGGGGACAGGGTCCCAACTTCAGCATATCTGGGGTGACCGAAGAACTCTTAGTTAGGGACTAAAGCTCACTTCAGTAGTGGCCCTACTTGTTGGATTCTAGTGTTGTTTCCGTTTTACCACGATTGTGAAAAATCTCTGGGGCAAGTCCTGGGGGAACATTGTAAGCCTGAGAACCTCTCTTTGGGATTCTGTGAGGCTGTCTAGCACCGACTCCAGGCTTCCTGCTGCTGCCGCTGCCTTAGTCACCCCCAGCCACAGCCAAGGATGTGCTCATGTGCGGCTTCTTGTTGGTTGCAGCAATAGGAAATGCCTTTGCGGTCCTGAGCAATCCTGACAAGAGACTCCGCTATGATGAGTATGGAGATGAGCAGGTGACTTTCACTGCACCTCGAGCCAGATCTTACCATTACTACAGGGATTTTGAAGCTGACATCTCTCCAGAAGAACTATTCAATGTCTTCTTTGGAGGACATTTTCCTTCAGGTTGGTATCTTTATTTATTTATTTTTTTTAAGTTTTGCCTGCATGTATGTCTGTGTACCTTATGTCAGTTAGGTACATGACTTTAATCCCAGCACTTGGGAGGCAGAGGCAGGCAGATCTCTGTGAGTTCAAGGTGAACCTGGTCTACAGAGTGAGTTCCAGGACAGCCATGGCTGTTACACAGAGAAACCCTGTCTCGAAAAACCAAAAAATAAAATAAAATAATTAAATTAGTAAAAGTTCTTTAGAGGCTAAGGGAGCTGCCTCAGTGGTTAAAAGCACTGGCTACTCTTGCAGAGGACCAAGATTTGATTCCCAGCACTCACATGGTGACTCACAACCATCTGTAACTCCAGTTGTAGGAGACCTGACACATTCTGGCTTCTGCGGGCATTGCATGCATGTGATGCACAGACATAAGTGTAGACAAAAGACCATACACATTGAATTAAGTGATTTTTAAATGTCACAATGAATCGCTGGGCATGATGATTTATATATATCCATAGTATTCATGTATACACAGCAAGATATATAAATAAAATGTGTACACACACACACACACATACATATAATTCCAGCACTTGATGGGTGAGGAAGCAGGAGCAGCAGGAGTTCACGGTCATCCTTCAATACATGGCAAGTCTGAGGCCAGCTGGACTACGAGAGTCCCTGTCTCAAAACAAAATAAACTGGGTGGTAGTGGCACATGCCTCTAATCCCAGAATTTGAGATGCAGAGGCAGATGGATCTCTGTGAGTTTGAGTCCAGTCTGGTCTACAGAGCAAGTTCCAGGACAACCAGGGCTACACAGAGAAACCCTGTCTTGAAAAAACAAAAAACAAAACGAACAAACAAAACCCCACTACCACTACCAACAACAACAACAAAAAGAAACCCAGAAAGGGTAGCTGGAGTTCAGTGGCTGAGGTTACTGGCTGCTCTTTCAGACGACCCAGGCTTGAGTCCCAGTACTCACATGGTGACTCACAAACATCTGTGACTCCAGTTCCAAGGGATTGACCTCTGCAGGCATGCATGTGGTACACATACATACATGCAGATTAAAAACACTCGAGTCTTTTTGAGGGGAATGGGAGGAGGGGAGAGGGGACACTGTAGTTGGTATGTAAAATAAATGGAAAAAAAAAAAGTTAATAAAAATTTAAAAAAAAAACACTCAAGCTCATAAATAAATCTTTTATTTATTTGTTTATTTTAAGACAAGGTCTCTCTGTGTAAACCTGGCTGTCCTGGAAAGCTCTGTAGATCAGTCTGGCCTCAAACTCAGAGCTCTGCCTGCCTCTGCCTTGAGTGCTGGGATTAAAGGTCTGTGTAACCATACCTAGCAACATAAAATAAATCTTTAAGTGAACAAACAAAAATACATAAATTTGGGGTTGGAGAGATGGCTTAGCAATTACAAGCACTTGTCCATATAGAGGACCTGGGTTCAATTTCCAACAGACACAGCAGCTCACGACCATCTGTAACTCCATTTCCAGGTGGATCCTGGTGATGCCTTCTTCCGGCCTCCATGGGTACTATGGGCATATAGTACACAGACATGCAAACAGGCAAAACACCCTATCTTAGTTATTATTCTAGTACTGTGAAGAGACATCATGCCCAAGGCAACTCTTATAAAAGAAAATGTTTAATTAAGGGGCTTGCTAATAGTTTCAGAGGATTAATCTATTATTATCATGATGGGAAGCAGACAGGCACAGTAATAGAGCAGTAGCTGAGAGCTTTACATCTTGATCTATACACAGCAGTCAGAGAGAGAGAAATTGAGCCAGGTGTGGGCTTTTGAAACTTCAAATCCTGGGAAGGGGAGGGAGGCAGGAAGGGAGAGAACAAGGGAATCTGTGGCTGTTATGTAGAACTGAATAGTATTATAAAATAAAATAATAATAATAAAAAAAAAGAAACCTCAAATCCCAACCCCACTGACAATCTCCTCCAACAAGACCACAACTACTTAAACAAGGCCACACCTCTTAATCCTTCCCAAACAGTTCCACTAACTGAGGACTAAACATTCAAATGTATAAACCTGTGGGATCCATTCTCATTCAAACACCACATACCCATATACATAAAAGGAAATCTTTTTTAAAAAATCATAATGAAACCCATTTTCTTTACCATCAGTATGTGTAACAAAATAGAAATCCAGAAAGTATATCACAGACAGCTAGCAGTTGAGAAAATTCAGTGCCAAGAAAGTAAGTTGAATTTTTTGTGTTGCTAGGGATGCAACCGGAGCCTCCAGCGTGCTAGGCATGTATCCCATGCTGAGCTGTACCCCAACTACAAATTGGACTTTGTTTTGTTTTGTTTTTCGAGACAGGGTTTCTCTGTGTAACAGCCCTGGCTGTCCTGGAACTCACTCTAGACTAGGCTGGCCTTGCACTCAAACAGAGATCCACCTGCCTCTGCCTCCTGAGTGCTGGGATTAAAGGCATGGGCCACCACTGCCCAGCAATAAATTGAATTTTATGAGTGGCTATTAAAGATGCTAGTGACTGGGCCAGAGAGATGGCTCAGCACTTAAGAGCACTGACTACTCTCCCAGAGGACCCAGGTTCAATTCCCAGAACCCACATAGCAGCTAACAACTATAACTCCAAGATCTAACACCCTCACACAGACATGCATGCAGGCAAAACACCAATGCACATAAATTAAAAATAAATAAATTTAATTTAAAAAGATGTTAGTGACTAATACTGGACACAGAAGCAGACGTAACTATGTCAGATAGGACTTATGGTCAAAATGCTATCTTCTCGCCTTTTGCAGTTTTCTCCCACAAACTTGCAAAGTCCATGAAGTCAGGAGAGCCTTGCACATCCCATGCCTGGCTGGCCCCCCAGCTCACCTATTGCCTTTTTTTTTGCTGGGTCAGATAGACAAATGCCTGTCTTTAGCCTCTTTGGGAACAAGACTTTGAAAAGGGCCAAAAAGGAATTACCATCTAATAAACATTCTCTCTCTTCCTTTTTCCCTCCCTCTCTTTAATGTCTGTTTTCCAGGAAATATTCACATGTTCTCAAATGTGACAGATGACAGTCACTATTTTCGCAGGCGACACCGCCATGAGAGGACACAGACACACAAGAGAGAAGAAGAAGATAAAACTCAGGTGCGTGTGCAGCCGAGATCATGCACATGGGCATACTGAGCCTGCTCCTATGGTATATAATCAGCCCTAGAAGTGCAATTGAGCTTTGTTTGTAAAATGTACTTTAAGCAATGGTAAGAGCTGGATAAGTGACCCACATGGGCCAGAATGTTGGTAATCCTCCATCCCTGATCCTTTTTTGTGTTTTCATAGGGTAAGGGTTTGTTTCTTTCTTTTTCTTTCTTTCTTTCTTTCTTTCTTTCTTTCTTTCTTTCTTTCTTTCTTTCTTTCTTTCTTTCTTTCTTTCTCTCTCTCTCTCTCTCTCTCTCTCCTTCCTTCCTTCCTTCCTTCCTCTCTCTCTCTTTCCCTCCTTCCTTCCTTTCTCTCTCTCTCTCTCTCTCTCTCTCTCTCTCTCTCTCTCTCTCTTTTAAGTTTTTGTTTTGTTTTGTTTCATGGATCTTAAAGGTACTTATTAATAAAAACAAACCTGGAGCAAGGTATTCGGGTGAATGCTAGAAGATCAGAGAAGCAGAATAAGCCACAGCCACCTCACCTTGCCAGTTCCTTAGCTGATCCTGTTTCCTCAGACTGGAAGCCTCTGAGTCCTTATCCAAATGGATCTCAGCTGGAACTGCTGCTCAAAAGCCTAAAAGCTTAACCAGGCCTTAAATACCATTCTGCTTCCTGATATCATTTCCTGAAATTAAAGGCTCTTATTATCACACCTGGCTGTTTCCAGTGTGGCCTTGAACTCACAGAGATCCAGGCAGATCTCTGCCTCTGGAATGCTAGGATTAAAGGCGTGTGCTACCACTGCCTAACCTCTATGTTTAATATTGTGGCTGTTCTGTTCTCTGACCCCAGATAAGTTTATTAGGGTGCACAATATTTTGGGGAACACAGTATCACCACAGTTTTGTTTTTGAGACAGGTTCTCTCTGTGTAGCCCTGGCTGTCCTGGAGCTCATTATGTAGACCAAGCTGGCCTCAAACTCACAGAGATCTGCCTGCCTCTGCCTCCCAAGTGCTGAGACTAAAGTCATGTGTAGCTAGAGTTTTCCTGCCTTGCCCACAGTCAGGACAAATCTTTGTCACCCGCCAGTCCCACAGCAGCTCAGACCCAACCAAGTAAACACAGAGACTTATATTGCTTACAAACTGTATGGCCGTGGCAGGCTTCTTGCTAACTGTTCTTTTATCTTAAATTAACCCATTTCTATAAATCTATACCTTGCCACGTGGCTGGTGGCTTACCGGCGTCTTTACATGTTGCTTGTCCTGGCAGTGGCTGCAGTGTCTCTCCCCCAGCCTTCCGCTTCCCAGAATTCTCCTCTCTCCTTGTCCCACCTACTTCCTGCCTGGCCACCTACTTCCTGCCTGGTCACTGGCCATCAGTGTTTTATTTATATAGAATGATATCCATAGCAGTCATGTGCCACCATGTCCAGCTTGTGGGGCTGTCTTGATCAAACTTTATTGCAGAAAATAAGAATCCCTTTCAAAATATTCAGAACTAAAAAGAGTGTTAAGTAAGAAACCAGGAGAGGGGGCTGGAGAGATGGCTCAGAGGTTAAGAGCTCTCACTGCCCTTCCAAAGGACCTGAGTCCAATTCTCACTGACCATATGGTGGCTCACAGCCATCTGTGATGAGATCTGATGCCCTCTTCTGGCTTGCAGGGATATGTGCAGGCAGAACACTGTATACATAAAAAACACATAAACGTTAAAGTTTAAAAGAAAAGAAAGAAAAAAAGAAACTGGGAGAGGCTCATCGCAGCTCAAAAGGCAACAGCCCCGCTGGGATGGACCCAGGTGTCCAGGCTTGGTGGCACTTTGACTCCTGAGCTGTCAGGTGGCTGCACACACTGTACCTATTCAAAAACAACAAATACTGTGCCCCACACGGTCTGGGGAGAATGGGGTCGTCTCTGATAGAGTTGGATGTCATCAGTTCTGGACAGCTGTGGCAGAGGAAGAGCTGCTTCACAGCAGCCGCTGGAGCCCCATCCGCGTCTGGCGGAATTAGAGACGCAAGGGACAGCGGTCATCGACAGTCCAGGCTGGGGGGCTTCCCTTACCCTCTCGGCAGAGAAGTGAGTTGTTTGGTTCTAAGCTGCAGTCCAGCCGTTTGGGAAACCTTGGCTTTGTGGGTGTTCCTGTGCCGTGCGTCAATAGTCTGCATTTCCTCTGGGATGTCTGTATGCTCAGACACTTCATTTTTTCTTTTACAGACTCCATATTCCGCATTCGTTCAGCTGCTTCCAGTTCTGGTGATTGTGCTTATTTCTGTCATTACTCAGCTGCTGGCTGCTAACCCCCCCTATAGTCTATTCTATAAATCGTAAGTTGAAAATTCCAATTTTTCCTTAGTATCAGACTTGGCCAGGTGGTGGTGGTGGTGGTGGTGGTGGTGGTGGTGGTGGTGGTGGTGGTGCACACCTTTAATCCCAGCACTCGGGAAGCAGAGGCAGGTGGATCTCTGTGAGTTTGAGGCCAGCCTGGTCTACAGAGTGAGAATTCCAGGACAGCCAGGGCTACACAGAGAAACCCTGTCTTGGGGGAGAAAAAAAAAGGAAATAAAAAGAAAAGAAAGATGAAAGACTTAAGGTTTTGCTGATTCATGCTGACATTTCATTTCACCTTCCACTGTGGAAAATGCTGACCTTATGTTTCAAGGAATAGCCATTCAAAGTTTCTCTAGTGATTTCTGTGGAGGTACTAAGTTTAGGTGCTTGAAAACACCTGCACTAAACCAAAAGGAGCAACCAAGCAGTAATAATGTAGACTTAAGTGGGTAGCAGCTGCCTGTGCCTAAGGAGTGCGGTTGTTTTTACAGAGTGACACCCTCTGGTCAACCGAGAAACAGGCAGGATTGGTTCAGAAGGACCAGCAGAGTGGTTTGAGGTTCCTAATCAATCCCTCTCGCCATGGTGAAGTTAGGAAGAACTCCGGTGAAGGCAGGGGTGGAGGCTCATACCTGCAGTCCAGCATGGAGGAGGCAGGCACAGAGGACTGCTTGGTTCCAGGCCAGCCTGAGCTACAGTGAGAAAGAGCGCCAGAGAAGAGAGATGGCAGAACAGAGAGAGAAGAGGAGAGGGAGAGAGGGCAGGTTGTGATGATAGATTGATAGATAGTGACTGGAACCTAGTGACTTTTCCAATTTTTAATTGAAAGGAGAGTGGAGAGATGGTTCGGAGGTAAGGAGCACTGGCTGATCTTGCAGCAGACCCAGGTTTAATTCCCAGCATCCACACGGTGGGTTACACCATCCATAATTCCAGTTTCCGGGGATCTGATGCCCTCTTTTGGCCCCTGTGGTCACCACGTATGCAAATAGTTCACAGACATTCGAGCAGGCAAAATGCTCATACACATAAAATTAAGATTAATGAAAATTACAAGGAGGGGTGGCACATGCCTTCAACCCCAGCACTTGGAGACAGGGGGTCTCTGAGTTCAGGGCCAGCGTGGTCTACAGAGTAAATTCTAGGACAGCCAGAGCTGTAATGCAGAGAAACTCTATCTTGAAGAAAAAAAAATTACAAGAAGGGACATTAGTTGTTAATAAGGACATAGAGTCAAACTATGCTATTGTGTTTCTTTGCTTTTGTTGAGAACAAAATTTATTATGATTCTTGTTGAGGCATGTAGATTATATATAAATACAGATTAGGAATCTTTTTTAATTTTTCTACTTAGTGTTTTCAGTTGCTTTGGTCAAAGTTTGGTCCCTAAGTAAGCATCAAGAGCATCAGCTGGCGACTCATTTAGACCCTGTTAGAGAGTAACTTGAAGCTGCACGTGGTGCACACTCCTTTAATCCCAGTACCTCAGAGGCAGAAGTGGTGGTAATAGACCCCAGCCTCAGGGCACTATCCTCTCAGGTGGGCGCCCCAGAAACCCGGATTCCAAACCAGTTGATGCAATCCCATGAGGCTTTATTTTAATCATTTGAGCAAACGGGCCCCTCTGTTATTCAGTGAGAGGAGCCCTGAACAATAATTGCAGGCATCTTTCAAAAGAGAAAACTATAAAATTAACATAGCATTCGGGGCAATACATCATTGGCTAGTTTAAAGATCAGCACTGGGGAGGGGTGTACAGCTATGAGGACTTTCCATGGGGGCTGCTTTTCTTCCTAGAATAGTCACAGGATGTTCTGTTAGACCCAAATAATGTCACAAGATCATTCTGCTGATGCCACAAGACATATCACAAGAATATTTCTGCTGAGGCTAATGGTTTGGGGACCTGGTTTGGGGGCCTGAGGCTGGTACTCGTTCCTCTTTCTCATGTTTAATTCTTTCAGTGGGGCGCTATAAATTCCAGGCCAGCCTGGGCTACAGAGTGAGTTCTAAGACCAAAAGAAAGAAGAGAGAAAAGTAAAGTTCAGGTTTTTGTTTGTTTGTTTTTGTTTTGACAATCTCTCACCGTGTAGTTAGTCCAGCTGGCCTCAGATTCACAGCGATCTTCCTGCCTCAGCCTCCCAAAGCGGAGATTAAAGTTGTGTGACCACCTGGTTCTAGTTTTTTCCTTTGGTTTAGTTTACTCTGTTTCTTTGGGGCGTCGATCTTGCTATATAGCTCTGGCTCGTCTCGTATGTTTGGTTCTCTTGCTCCCAGCTTCTGAGTGCTAGGACTACAAGATGTGTACTGAGATATTCACGCTCTTGTTGTTTGCATACGTGGATGGTGGTCTTTTGTGGGACTTCTCCAGGGCCCTAACATGTACCACCAGATTGAAGTGCTAGGACAACATGTATGTACCACTGGATCTGGCTTTTGTTTTTTTAAGTATCCAGGAACTCTTACATGTTTGTTTGTTTGTTTTGTATGTATAGGTGAATGTGAGGCCAGCAAGATGGCTCAGCACATAAAAGCACTTGCTGCCAAGCCTGGCAGACCTGAGTTTGATCCCTAGGACCCACATGGTAGAAAAAGAGAATGGAGTCTCTCAGGTTGTCCTCTGACTTTCACACGTGTGCTGGGGTCTGTGCACACCTGCTCTCACATGCGTACAAAACAAATACATAAGGCTGGGCTCGGTGGCACATGCTTTTAGTCCCAGCACTTGGGAGGCAGAGGTAGGCCCATCTCTATGTGTTCAAGGCCAGCCTGGTCTACATAGCAAGTTCCAGGTCAGCCAGGGCTACAAAGTTAAGACCATATCTCAAAAAACAAAAACAAATAAATGTGTGTGGGGTGTGCTAGTGCATGTGTGGTCAGAGGACAGGTCAGGGAGTTAGTTTATGCCTTCCACCTTATTAGGGCCGATGTCTCTTGTTTCTGCCACTGTGTTTCATATCCAGGTTAGCTGGGCTTTGTGCTTCCAGCCAACCCTCTTGTCTCCTTCCTTCCCACCTTGCTGAAGACGTGCTGAGGTTACAGATGCATGCTACTTTATCTGGCATTTACATGGGTTCCAGGTACCAAACTGAGGTCCTCAGGCTTACTCGGCTAGAACCTTTACCTGAGCCATTTCCCCAGTGCCACCACCTCCCCCGAATTAGTTTGTTTGAGACATGGTCTCATGCATGCAAGGCTAGACTTGAACTCACCACGTAGCTCAGGATGACCATGAACTTGTGATCGTCCTGCTTCTACCTCTCCATAACGGGTGTGCCACTACTCCTGGTTTGATTGAGTGCAGGGGGCGGGGATCCCAGGGCTTCATGTAGGCTAGGCAGGCATTATACCAACCGAGCCACGCCCACACCCCAGACAGACTTCTAAACGACTAGTCAGTCTACTTCACACCCAGAAAAACCATGTAAGAAAGGTGAGTCGTGGGCTGGAGAGATGCTACAGTAAAAAGCACAGGCTGCTCTTGCAGAGGTTCTGAGTTCAATTCTCAGCATCCATGTGTCAGCTCACAGCCATCTGTAACTGGAGTCCTATTGGGATCAAGTACCCTCTTCTGATACACCTTACCAAAAAAGAACGAAGGAAAGGTGAGTCTTCGGAAAGAATGAACTCTAAGCTACATTGGAAATGGTCAAATTGCTTGTTTGATGCCACAGTGATGACTGTGTTCTACTTCACTAATGGACTGACAGATGTTGGGAGATGGTGGCAGTTGTATTTAGAGACCAGCCAAGAGTAAGATTGTCAGGTGGTATGAACTGATGGGAGCCTCTCTCTGTTTCAGAACCTTGGGCTATACCATTTCTAGAGAAACACAGAACCTGCAGGTGCCTTACTTCGTGGATAAGAACTTCGACAAGGCCTACAGAGGAGCTTCTCTTCGTGACCTGGAGAAAACAATAGAGAAAGATTATATTGATTACATCCAGACAAGCTGTTGGAAGGAGAAACAGCAAAGTAAGTAAGGCCACGCAGGCTGTCGGGAGGTCTCCCCAGCCTCCTGACCCCTCCTCTGCTGGTGAACAGAGGCAGAGGACAGACAGACACACACACACACACACCCCTCAGCTACTACTGCAAAGAAGGGACGTTTATCAACATGTGACCAGGACTGGAAAACATAGAAACTCAGCACCACTGTACTCTCCTCTTGTACTTTCTTCTCTCTGTCATCTGCCCCACAGGGGCAGGCTTACTACATAGCCAGCTGACTTACTGCTCACTGCATGCATCAGGTTGCTCTCAGAGGTCTGCCTGGCTCTGCCTCTAGGCTGCTCGTATGTAGCCATGGATTGTGATATTCCTGAGGACTTGATTATAGGTACGCCCTGTCTCTGTTCTCTTACTACCTGCCTTTTTTTATTCTTTTAAAAAATTACTTTGTTTATTTGTGCAAGAGTGTGTACAAATGCCCCGAAGTATGTGTGGCAGTCAGAGGACACTGGGTGGGACTTTGTGCATTTTGAATGTTGCTCTTCCTGTCGATGTCCTAAGGTCCCTAACCTCACCAGTCCCTGCCCCCATTTTGCATCCCAAGCTTCTTCATGAAGTTCTCGGTGCTATCTGCTTTCCTTCACAGTCCCTAAATCCCACATTCCCTAGAGAGAAATCTGATTGAGCCAGCCTCCCTTATTGAGTCAAGTCAGAAGTTTAGAAGTTGTTGGCATGAGCCAAACAATGGTGGTGCACGCCTTTCATCCCAGCACTCGGGAGGCAGAG